CCAATCAAAGTCACTTATATCGAAGACTTACATCGGAAGGTCCCAATTCCCAGCAAGATTCTCTTTATCCTTGGAAAGAGATGTTGGATTTTTCCCTAAGAAGTTGGGAGTTGGATCAGAGTTCGAAAATTTCCCTGAACTGCAATTTATTTTTGCAGTATTTTCCCCAGTGAGGCGAGTTTTCATTCCCTAGTGGAGCTTGCTTTCTAGAACAAGCGTCATCTTCTCCCCAGTATGGTGCACATGGAAGCACCAATTATAACTCCTTCATCCCGGAATATGAAAGATTTTGTTGAGATGTCAGCGGTGGAGTTTCTGTCCTAGGATGTTTGGTTCTTCCCCAAATGAAGATTTTTATCCCCCGGCGTTGTTATCCCCAGTGTGGTCTGAGTAGAATTCTATTTATTTAAGAATTTCTATACTCCCCAGTAGAAGCTATCTTCGTAAAGAAGTTCTGCGCAAGAGAAAGCTTCCGTCCCCAGCGAAGCTCTCCCTGTTCTAACAGAAGATAAAGTATCTATCCCCCAGGAATTTGGAAGTTTGATCAGAATTCAAGATTTTCTCTCAAACTGCAACTTATTTTTCGCAGTATTACTACCCATCTTCAATGTTATCAATCATTCGAGGTTGATGGTTTCGAATCTCGATTTCCTACTGAAGTTCATATTGCATGTTCTCTACAGAAGATTAGATGTGCAAGAATAATCATTTGAAAGTTCATTGTCTTCCCAACATCCGATTATTTACGTGGTCTCCCCAGTGCATTACTAAACATGCATCATTACATTGCATCATTACATCGCATCTACTAAAATGCATATCATTTCCATTGCATGGAACATTACGCTATAAAAAATTCAAACATGCATAAGTATAAGCCAATTATGTCCACTTGTGGTAACCAGATTGTTATGCGCTCAGATTTGATTTATCTCCACAACAAGCCTAAGGGTGACTCTATTATGTTTCCCCAGCGGGGTTTGTTTTGATTCACCATCAGTCGGGTCTTCGGTATTCCTCCATCTCCCCAGTAGGTTTGTGGTTTGCGCTTGCCTTTGCAAGCCTTTGGTTATTTTACCCGTGTTCGCTTTGCCGTTAGAGTGCGAGTAAGAGTCGGCGTATAGCCTTTCTTATTTCTCAAGTATTTGAGTGTCCATACTTGGTGTGTGGTAATTCAGATGATTGCCACTCTTGAAGAATTATACCCCGCCTTTGGCCTGAGGGATTTTCTAGTTCTTGCGTATTTGCAACCTATCGAAAGCCTAACATGTTTTTCTTCGTTAGAGTCTGCTTGGACCAGTCCCTTTCTCTTGTAGAGTACACATTCGATTGGTGCTCTTTGAAGGTCCTGCTTAGTCGGTTCCTTGTTTTGGTTTATCCATGTTAGTCGGGTCCTCCCTTTGTTAGCCTAGCTAACTTTTTATGATTAAGAGTCTTTCAATGTCTCTTCAAAGTCCAGTTGTCTGGCGCCCTTGTTTAGGCGAATGTGTCCTTTTTTTGGGGCTTTCTTCGGTTAGCCTCGTTCCTGTGTTCGCTAGTAATTCTAAACATTTGTTTCTTGATGATCAACTTCGCTCTTGTGTATCTAACTCTGACCAGACATGCATACCTGTATCTTTCAAAACCCCGCTTCGGCTGGTATCTTTTGTCAAAATCCCGCTCTGGATGGTGTCATTTCTTTTAAATCCATCTTCGATTGACATCATTTGTCCGGAGTCCTATTCGTTCGGTCTCCTTCCTCAGTAAGTCCGCCTTCGATTGGTGTTTCTTTGCAAGAGCTTTATTCGGTCTGTCTCTTTCGTACGTATCCGATACCAACCACGGATATGTATTTTCGATACCTGTTTCATATGTCTGCTACCAACCTCAGACATATGTTCTTGTATCTTTGACGTCTCTTTCATACGTATCCGATACCGACCACGGATATGTATCTTTGATATCTCTTTTGTGCGTATCCGATACCGACCATGGATATGTATCTTTGACATCTCTTTTGTGCGTATCCGATACCGACCACGGATATGTATCTTTGATATCTCTTTTGTGCGTATCCGATACCGACCACGGATATGTATCTTTGATGTCTCTTTTGTGCGTATCCGATACCGACCACGGATGTGTATCTTTGATGTCTCTTTTGTGCGTATCCGATACCGACCACGGATATGTATCTTTGATATCTCTTTTGTGCGTATCCGATACCGACCACGGATATGTATCTTTGATATCTCTTTTGTGCGTATCCGATACCGACCACAGATATGTATCTTTGATATCTCTTTTGTGCGTATCCGATACCGACCACGGATATGTATCTTTGATATCTCTTTTGTGCGTATCCGATACCGACCACGGATATGTATCTTTGATATCTCTTTTGTGCGTATCCGATACCGACCACGGATATGTATCTTTGATATCTCTTTTAAGCGTATCCGATACCGACCACGGATATGTATCTTTGATATCTCTTTTGTGCGTATCTGATACCGACCACGGATATGTATCTTTGATATCTCTTTTGTGCGTATTCGATACCGACCACGGATGTGTATCTTTGATGTCTCTTTTGTGCGTATCCGATACCGACCATGAATATGTATCTTTGATATCTCTTTTGTGTGTATCCGATACCGACCACGGATATGTATCTTTGATATCTCTTTTGTGCGTATCCGATACCGACCACTGATATGTATCTTTTCTATATCTTTTGTGCGTATCCGATACCGACCACGGATATGTATCTGTTCTATCTCTTTCTTACGTGTCCGATACCGACCACGGATATGTATTTTTGATGTCTCTTTCTTGTATATCCGCTACCAACCCCGGATATGTGTCTCTTATATTTTTTTATGTCTACTTCAGGCTTCAGGCGTATATCTTTTGATACCTTTCTTACAGGTGTTTGTTACTAAATCCCAACAGATGTTCCTTGATAACCAAGTTATTCTGCTGTGTATCAAACTCTGGTTAAACATACATCTAACCCCGATAACCCATGTAATCCAAAAAGCAAAATAATATAATAAAAATATATTCCGAAAAAGAAAAATAATAATACCTAACTGACTCCGGAGCGCAAATTTTTGGGTTCTTTTAAGTATTTAATCTTCTTCCACCTTGAAAGTTCGAAAGGATGGCGCCAATCTCACCTTCAGGTTGAAAACGATTAAATAGGGGCAGGTGTTGCACCCCAAAATTTGCCCTCCAAATTTCCTTTATTTTTGGCTTAGACTTTTGCATTCATCTGCATCTTTTTCATTAGGTCACTAACGTGGCATACATTTCATTCAATACAGCTCTGAGGTTCAAAGTTCAGTGGTTGTGCGATACTAGGGTTTCATAGTGGTTAAGGCGCTCATATCCAATAAAGGACTTCTTCTCCCTCAAGTAGCAAGGCTATTATCTTCTGATAAACAACCGATTGTAGGTCATTCTGGTCAAGAACTCTAGGACGTGACCTAGCATATGTGGGCTTCGAATCATGACGTCCTTTCCTATAAGTATGCTTGTCACTTGATTAGGATTAATGACTGTGACATGACAATCATCTACTCCTCAGTTAATCAAATTAGGTTTTGTTGAATCACGGTTCAGAGATGTTTTATCCGGATATTTCTCTGTGCGTCTGAACGAGGAATCAAGATTGTGAGGGTTTCACATCAAGGGAACTCTTCTGTGATTCAGACTTTATCATCCATCTGTAAGATGTTCCTTGTGACACTAATCTCAAGTTGAAACAACCGATCTCTAAGGGCTGAGGATTGAATTATGAAGCGTGGTTCATGACCTAAGATATGAATTCATAGATTTCTCCTTAACCAAGGCCATTATTGTCCTCATCATTGTCATTTGTTATCTGCGATGTGAGTAGGTTTGGATTGAAGTAGGTTTCCCATAGAAGAATTCATGCAAGGTAATTCAAGGTTCAAGGCATTCAAGGCAGGGTTTGTTCAACATGGCATACCTGGTTGATGGGCTTACAAGCTCTTATGAGACCTTGAGATGCATAATCATGGGTCAATTTCAAAGATACGAGGATAAGATCTGTTGACTTCGGTTAAAGTAAGCTTTGAACAATTAACTTTGGGGCCAAGGTCTCCCTTGAATTTTCATCTAATATGTGTTGGGAATTCGAGTTGCATTTGAAGAATGGTATGGTAAAGGAAAAGAAATATTGGTTCAAAAAAGAAAAAATTCATTAAAAATCAGGGTTTCTATTCATTGATAAAATTTCAAGATTGAAGTTAGGAGTTCATTGAGAATGCAAGTGTGATTTGGATTTGAAGTTTGATTTGAGTTCAAGATTTTGATTGGATTAAAGTTGGCAAAGAGTCTTAAGCATTGTTCATATGGCTCTCTTGGAAGGTAAAGTACAGACTGCGAGGTTTTGTTTCAAGTCAGAGTTCATACGCATTACAAAGATGTTCATCGTTATTCCGGATTCAAGTTGACATGTGTCCAAAGTTTATTCGAACCCTTTCATTCATGATTCAAGAAAATACTATCCAATTCCATTCAATTTCATTCAAGTGTAACAATACCACAAGAAAATTTGATGCTTTCATGTCTTCAAGCATTTTTTCAAGACTTTGTCATTTAAACTCCGTCCAAAAAAAAAATCCATCACCCGACATTTCAAGCTCAAAGTCATTAATAATTCACACTATAAATTTCAAAGTTCATCCAAACCAAACATTCATTATAAAATCATTACAATCCCATTACACCAATATTCTACAAAGAAAAAAAACTGTTACAAAATACACTTGAACAAAATTCTTTAGTCCTAAAGGTGCTAAAATTCCATGAGTAAACTTCTAATTCCATGCCATGTCAAAGTTCTTCATCTTCAGTTCATGACCTGCACATTCATACAAAAAAAATCCAAGTCCATACAAGCAATCATACCAAAATACCCCCATTCCCACCGCTACCCTCATTTCACACAGTATCACAAAAAAAGCTGTCTTCCTCCTTCATTCACCACCATGGATGCCACGCTCTCCGTTCTCAAGGATTACTTCGGGTTTATGAGTTTTCGACCTTATCAGCAAGAGGTTATTGAGAAAATTATTGAGAAAATGGATCGCTTGGTAGTTATGGCGACTGGTAGTGGCAAGTCATTGTGTTATCAAGTGCCTCTGTTGGTTGTGAAAAAGACTGGGATAGTTGTAAGCCCTTTAATATCATTGATGCAAGATCAGGTTATGGCTTTGAAACAGCGAGGTATCAAAGCTGAATATCTTTCGAGTGCTCATAAGGATTATACTATTCAGGGTAAAGCTGAGCGTGGTCAATTTGACATTCTGTTTATGACTCCTGAGAAGGCATGCACAATTCCTACTAGTTTCTAGTCCAACTTGCTAAAGGAAGGAATTAGTCTTTTTGCTGTTGATGAAGCACATTGTATATCAGAATGGGGGCATGACTTTAGGGTAGAATACAAGCAGTTAGACAAGTTACGTGGTGTTCTGTTAGATGTTCCTTATGCTGGTCTAACTGCAACGGCTACTGAAAAGGTTCGGTTTGACATCACCAATTCCTTGAAGATGAATAATCCTTACATTGTTGTTGGTTCATTTGATCGCCCAAATCTTTTCTATGGTGTCAAGCAATTTAACCGAGGACAATATTTTATTGACGAGCTTGTTGAAGAAATTCCAAAAGAAGTTGCTAATGGTTCAACTATTATTTACTGCACAACAATCAAAGATGTAGAACAGATATATAAGTCAGTAATGAACGTCGGTATAAATGCTGGAATGTACCATGGCCAAATGGATGGAAAATCACGAGAGGAGTCTCACAGATTATTTGTTAGAGATGAAAAGCAAGTCATGGTGGCCACAATTGCCTTTGGCATGGGCATAGATAAACCTAATATAAGAAAAGTGATTCATTATGGCTGCCCTAAAAATCTAGAGTCCTACTACCAGGAAAGTGGGAGATGTGGTAGAGATGGTATAGCTTCTGCTTGTTGGCTTTACTACACAAGAAGTGACTTTTCAAAGGGTGATTATTATGCTGCAGATTTAAAATCGGAAAACCAAAAAAAAACTGTTACGGAGTCATTGCTTGAAGCTCAACGCTATTGTTTGACGGCAACTTGCAGAAGAAAGTTCTTGCTAGAACACTTTGGAGAAAAATTTGCAGCTGATCGATGTGGAAACTGTGATAACTGCACGGTCTTGAGGCAACATCGTGACATGTCAAAAGAAGCCTTTCTTCTACTGGCTTGCATTCATTCATGCAAGGGAAGATGGGGCCTTAATATGTCGATTGACATCCTGCGCGGTTCTCGAGCAAAGAAAATAATGGAAGCTCAATATGACAAGCTTCCACTTCATGGACTTGGGAAAGCATACCAAGCAAATTGGTGGAAAGCACTTGGACATCAATTGATTTCTCTAGGTTATTTGAAGGAGTTTGTGACTGATGTGTACAGAAATGTAAGTGTCAGTTCAAAAGGAGAGCAATTTTTGGCCTCATGTAGACCAGACTATCAACCTCCTTTGGTTTTGCCATTGGTTGGTGAGCTCGCAGAAGAGGAAACTAGAAGCGCAGAAGAATTCAAAATTTTGGCCGCTTCAGAATCTGAAGGCTGAAGGACAGCTCTACCAAATGCTTTTAGAAGAAAGATTAAATCTTGCAAGGAGTGTTGGAACAGCTCCATATGCTTTATGCGGTGATCAAACAATCTCAAGATGAATGTCTCCAACGCCAGACTGTACCGGTTTCCCACCAACATTCTCAAACAAATGAAGTTCAGAAGTCTGAAAAAGATCCTGTCTTTAACCATGAGGTAATCAAAACAAATAATCCCAACTGTGAATCACAGTATGCAAAATTGCAGCAGATGAGTAATCCACAGGCCACAGTAAATGAACAACCTAGTAGCCAAATCAATCGTAGTAAGCAGGTGCCATTTGGCTTATTGCTCCCTATCTTGATTCCCCAACTTGCCAAATATAGAGCAATGCAACTTACAACATTATTTAACAAATTGAAGAAAGATGAAATACCCAAAGATCATTTTGTACGGCTTATGAAAGGGATTGTGGGGGATCAGATGCTTAGAATAGCATTGACGAAAGTGCAACAACAAACAAAAGCCAACGCAGGTTCTTCTGGACAGCAGCACCCTGTAAGGATGCCAACGGTTACTTCCAGTGGAACAAAATTTAATGATCCCCATGCATTAGCACAACTGCATCAGAGAAGTATGAATCCTGATGCAGACCATTCTCATAATACTTCTTCAGCTATCCAAGTGAAGAGTGAACCGACCTATTCAACTGTGGACATTGGTGCTAAAAAGTCTCTGGAACATGATGTTCGAGTTGTGCAACCAAATCAATTACCATCATCAGGTTCTAATGCCGTCAGTCAAGAAACTGAAAGATCCTCAGTTCATATACAAGGCCTTAATAAGCAGCAATAGCAGCATATACATTTCCCATCGACATATGGAAGCAGTGGTGGTAACTATAACCATTTTTCCGGGACAACTACTGGTTCGTCATCTCTTAGACCACAACCTCATCCTCATGATTCACACATAAGGCAAATTCCTCATCAGAATATTGGTTTAAATCACTTGGGTGTAGAACGACAAAGTTCTTTCACTGATCCTAAGAGAATGCCAGGTGGATCTGTGTCGACTGGTGTAAACAATACAGCACCACAACAAACTTCAACTTCTTGGCAACCTTCAGCAGAACAAAATTCTGGCTTGTTTTCATCTGTTTCATATGTAAAAAAGGAACCTAACGACCTTTCTATTGAGCAGCAACATAGGAATCATTTATCTAAATTGCATGGGTTGCCTTCTGTTAATTCTGGTCAAACTGAACAGGGTAGTGGTGTCAATCAAGGCACCGTAAAGGATGAGTTTTCAAGAGGTTCTTTAGCACTCACTAGCATGTCACATACAACATCTGCTAGCTTTCCCACATCAAGCTCTGCATCTCAACTAGATCCAACCATCCAAACCCAGTTTGATAACCCGAATGATTCAAATATGGAAGAGATGCCCATTGTACTGACAAGGTTAAGTTTAAAACTGGGCTGCACACTAATACAAACGCTAGCAATCAACACAAGACTAAGCTTGGTGGGAAGGCTGAAACTTCAAAAAGGCAATTTATCTAATCAGAATAAAGAGGCGGTACAAGTTGAATTAAATGACAAATGGTATCTTAATATGCCATTTTTGGATGTTCCTTTGTTAAGGCTGCTGAAGGAATTGTTTGTAGGACAGAAGCTTGAAGAATGGGAAACAGAAGATTAATTAACAACTCTCTAACTACCTCCAAACAGAATTCCCAACTAGCATAACCACCTTGTAACCAACTCTCAATCTCACCCTTCAATCCCTAACAAACTCTATCCAAATCAATGGTTCAGATTGATTCCCACATAACCATTTCCTCCCTCAATTACCTATATAATCCAAACTCCCTCCAAGTTTGAGGTGACGACGATACTTTCTCTTTTCCAGTTTCAAACTTCATCCTCTCTCCACTATTTTTTTTTCTATCCTCTTCCATCAACACGCTTCATTTTTCACCCAGAACTCAAAAAGTTTTCGGAATTCTCTCTCTTTCTTCTCTAACCAATACTCTTCACCCTTCAAGCCACTCTTCATTTTTACTTACTTCTGAAACCCTGCTTCATCTTCATCAAATCATCTCTCTATAAACTCAAATCACACTCCTACGATCTCACTCAAACACAACTCACAACGACAACCGCAACAACACCAACATACAAATCATTAACAAAATCGTGCAAACGCATAGCACAACAATTTTCACAAAAGAAATAGAAGAAAAAGAAGAAGAAGTCGTGCAAAGAAGTTAAGAGATATTGTACCTGAAACTTCTTCATATTTTTCATTGTCGGCATCACCCTCGAAGAGACACCGGGTGCCTTCTCCGGTTGGTAAGCCTTCTTCAATCTTTCATTCTACATTTTATGCTCTTTGTCAAAGAATGAAACTTGAATTTTAGTCCGCGAAGAGGTTGATGGAAGAGAGACGTGTGAACCGAGGCGGATCAAAAACGAACAATGAAGAGAGGAGCAGAGCTTTGAGATATGAGTGAATTGTGAAACCAAAGTAGAAAGAATGAGTCGGAGGTGTGATTCGGCACCATTGAGGGAAGAGGAAGAGGACTTTGTTTCTCTTGAAGTCTAACCGTCACACGATTTGGGAATCCTGGGGACAAAATCACGCCATTCATTTGTTTGTTGTGTTTTTCTAATTCCTTTTATTGATAACAGTGGAGATGCACGAAGCTGAATAAAAGGTGGATGGATCTTGGTATGATCTTAGTGGACCGAGGTATACACCATTCAGGTCCATGGCCATTATTTTCGGGAGTTGTTTTTTGGTGAGGTATAAAATATTGGGTTGGGCCTGCGAGTCAATGTTACTACAATACACACCATGCTTCAGACTCACACACCCATGTGTAGAGTTTTTTCTAGCTTTTCTTTAGCCTTTTCTTTTCATAGTCGTTAGATAACAATTTTGTTAATAAAAATATTGATATAATAAAAACCTAAAAAATGTTAGATTGTAAGAGATATTTTTAGAAATTAATTCTTGATTATCCGATTACTCGAGACTCGTGATTCACTTTTGTTTTTTGGAGATTTGAGTCTTATGCATGCTTATTGTGTGATATGTGGATACCCTTGAAATTTCGAGTGTGATTTATTTTCACATCGATGATGCTTCAACACTTATTCCGAGCATTGGATTTCTAATTCTTTTCTTTGTTGATGCTAGCAGCTCGTGAGATCATCAAGTTTCTTTGCTTTTTTACTTTGCTCCACGAGCTAGTACTCGTTTGGTATATTTTATTTCCACTCTCACCCCGAATTTATCACTTCCCATAGATTGCATGGTATGATGACTTTAGGTTTAGAAATAGGTTAGTCTCCCTGTGACTTTTCTTTTTTTCTTTTCGCATATGCAGTTAAAACAAAAAACTTCTTTTTCTCGTAAACTTCAAAAATACAAAAAAAATTTACTGACGAGAATCATATCTTCGTTAAGTATGTGAGACGATAAGCGGGTCTCTTCTCGACCTTATTGATCTCTTATTCTAAGCTTTGGTATGATTCAAGTCTCAAAGACTCATTTCATGAATAAATAGAGAAATGGCTAAAATCTCTCTCTTGAGGTTAACTAGTTATTATCTACAAGCAAAAACACCAACAAACATAAAAATCTTTTTGCCCTCGGGCCTTTCTTTCAAATCCTTTTCAAAAGAGCGTATTAATTCACTTCTGTGCTGACGCGTAAATCTCCAAAGGTCGAGTTGCGGCAGAAGGCGAGATTAATATTGTTCGTTAAAGAAAATACAAACAAACAAAAACACATAAGCCGAACTAAGGCTGCTCTGATTCCTTAAAACGGATACGTAGGCATTGGGGTAGGGCCCAGGCGAGCACAATTTTATTTTCCCTACATTCTTTTCTCCTTTTCTTTTGCATGCACTTTCCCTTTAGCAATAATAGACAGTAAGCATAGATTAAACACACCCATAAGATAGATAACAAGAGTGGATACCATAAAGTACTACGGGCGTGTGGGGTGCTAATACCTTCCCCTCTCGTAACAGACTCCCTTACCCTTATCTCTTGGTTGTTCGACCTTGATTTCATCCTTCTCGGGTTTACTCGATGTTTACCTTTCCCTTCATATGGGATAAAAGACGTTCGATGGCGACTTCATTGTTTTGATGATTTTCAGCCGGTTGTTTCAGAGTGGAATCTCCGAAGACACTTAGAAACTTAATCCTTAGGTCAATTGCTGCTCGAAGACCCATGATGCACGCCTCATACTCCGCCATGTTGTTGGTGCAGTTGAAATATAGTCGGGCGGTGAACGGAGTATGAGAGCCTTTAGGAGATATGATTATGGTGCCAATGCCATTACCCAAAGAATTTGAAGCTCCATCAAAGTTCATAGACCATCGGGATCCTTCCTCAGGTCCTTCATCCGGTCCAGGTGTCTCACAATCAGTTACCAACATGATATTCTTGTCCGGGAATTCAAAGTTCATAGACTGGTAATCATCCACTGCCTGATGTGCCAAATGGTCTGCCAACACACTTCCCTTGATTGCCTTTTGGGTCGTGTACTGGATGTGATACTCAGTCAAGATCATCTGCCATCTTGCTATTCTTCCGGAAAAAGCGGGCTTCTCGAAGATATACTTGATTGGATCCATCCTTGATATCAACAGAGTAGTGTGAGTCAACATATACTGTCTCAGCCGGCGAACAGCCCATGCCAAAGTGCAACAAGTTTTCTCGAGCAGTGAGTATCGGGTCTCACAGTCGGTAAACTTTTTGCTAAGGTAATAAATAGCATGCTCTTTTCGGCCAGACTCGTCATGTTGACCCAGCACACACCCCATTGAGTTGTCGAGTACTGTCAAGTATAAGATCAAAAGCCTCCCTTCAACCGGTGGCATCAGAATGGGTGGCTCCTGGAGATACTCTTTGATCCTTTCGAAAGCGGCCTGGCATTCATCATTCCAACGTACCACTTGATCTTTCTTCAGTAGCTTGAAGATTGGCTCACAAGTAGCAGTTAGGTGCAAGATGAATCGGGCAATGTAGTTCAGTCGTCCCAGAAAGCCTCTGACTTCTTTCTCTGTTCTGGGAGCTGGCATTTCCTGTTTAGCTTTCACTTTTGTAGGATCCACTTGAATACCCTTATTGCTCACGACGAAACCCAGTAGTTTGCCAGATCTCACCCCAAAGGTGCACTTGTTCGGGTTTAACCTCAGTTTGTACAACTTCAGCCTGTCAAACAGCTTCTGCATATGGTCAAAGTGTTCTTCCACAGTTTGGGACCTTGCAATCATATCATCGACGTATACCTCAATCTTATGATGGATCATGTCATGAAACAAAGCAACCATGGCACGCTGGTACGTTTCCCCGGCATTTTTCAATCCAAAAGGAATGCCCTTTTAGCAAAAGGTACCCCACTGAGTAACAAAGGTCGTCTTCTCCATGTCTTCGGGAGCCATTTTTATCTAATTATAACCGGAGAAACCATCCATGAAGGAGAATACCTTATGCTGAGCGGTGTTGTCAACCAGAACATCGATATGAGGTAGAGGGAAATCATCCTTGGGGCTTGCCCTGTTCAAATCCCTATAGTCAACACACATTCGAACCTTACCATCCTTCTTTGGCACCAAAACCACGTTGGCCACCCACTGAGGGTAAGAAGTAACTGCTAGAAAACCGGCATCAAACTGTTTCATAACTTCAGCCTTGATCTTCTCAGACATCTCTGGGCGCATTCGGCGGACCTTCTGTTTCACGGGAGGACAGTCTTCCTTGGTAGGCAGGCGGTGAACCACAATATCAGTATCTAAACCAGGCATATCTTCATAAGACCAGGAAAAGATCTCAACGTAGTCACGCAGCATCTGAATTAACCATTGCTTCACACTAGCTTCCAGATTTGCACTGACCTTAACTTTCTTCTCGTCTATCTCAGTACCCAGATTCACTGATTCCACCGGCTCTTCGTGCGGCTGAATAAACCTCTCTTCTTGGAGTAACAGTCTTGCAAGTTCACCAGGCACTTCACAATCATCTTCACCTTCGTCTTCGGCTAAGTTGATCGGATTTTTGAAGTCATAACTGGCGGTAGCAGAGTCGTTACCAGTGAGATCTAGAGTGGATGTGGACCTGTATATGCGAGTGTGTGTAAAATAGCTGTTTTGCAATATATAATAAAGAAAAACAAGGAGAGAAAAATTTGAAATGCAAGAACGTCCAATGCTTTTATTAATGATATATGAAAATGACACACAAAAGCCCTCACAAATGAAGCCACAGTGCCCCGGGTAAGACATTGGGCAATAAAGTTTAAAACATTGTCTGTTACATATTCAAAACAAAAAGTTTCATTACTGGGTAATGACAGAAACGGGCATAGAATCCTTCGATGTCCAGTTGCTTAATCCACCGTCGGCAGTTGGGTAGATCCAGCTGTCAATGTCAAACTCTTCATCATCGTCATCCCTGATAGCATTCACCCCTGCATCTTGTTTAGGCTTCTTTGGTGCTCCGAACTCGATCTCTTTCGCATCGATCAAGTCTTGTACCTTGTTCTTCAAAACCCAGCAATCATCTGTATTATGCCCCGGGCTATCAGAGTGAAAAGCACAACGGGCATTAGGGTTGTACTTCGATGACGTAGTGTTTGGATTCTTCGGGGCTTCCTTTAGAATCACCAGATTGGTCTTCAAC